GAATCAAAGTGTCACAGGGAGCCAGGAAATGGGCCAGGATGGAGAGCAGGAGCTCAAACCACTCTACCACAGAGGGTCCAGGCCAGGGAAAGCCCAAAAAGACCTTCCCTGCCTTCAGCTAGGGGCTCAGGGCTGGGATTTTAGCAGCCCTCCAGCCCCTCAGATTTCCACCCCCTGTTTTTTGAGGCCATTTTTTGGCAGCTCAGCCACAGGAGCTGGGAGTTTGCAGCTGCCATCTGTTTTCATTGCCCTTCTACTTCAGTGGTGATGTGTAAACATGAGCAAGATGAAGGATTGTCCTGAGGGAGGTCAGAGATGGGGTGGGGAGGTGAGAAGTTGCGATGGAGCAAAGAATCCACACAGATTGAGCTGCACCTCCAGCCTAAAATTAACTCATCTGGTCCTTCAGCCACTCCTCCTGCGTGAGACCTGCACCCAGTTTCTCTGGGAATGAAGGGAGGCTCTCCTGGTTTGCTCTGTGCTTTCCCAGCCAAAGCCAGGTTTGACACAAGGCAGCTCTGTGCCCTCAGCACCCCCTGCTATCTGCAGCATTGCACTGCCCTTGTTGCCATGGGCAGAGTTATCTCACAGGGACTTGGGCAATGCAGCCCTGCCATTATCTCTGCTTTGCAGATGGGGAACCAAAACACAGAAAAAATGAAGGACAGGCCTGTGAAATGAACTCTTCAAGTTGCATGTGACAAAGCCCAGCAGTCCTCAACTCCCACAGCCATTCCCCGGGGCCAGGGAGTCCTGTCAGTCCCACCAGGAACTGTTTCCTTCTGTAGGTACAGACTTTGCTCTGCAGTCCACTCGCTGCAGGTCGAGGAGCTGTCACTTGGTCACCAGTTCAATTAGCAGCTCATATTCCTCTTTCAGCTCCTGGAGCTTCATCAGAGCCTCTCTGATCCCAGGAAATGAGTTTTCCAAATGAAGCGTGCCTGGTGCACTGATAAAGAAGGCATCAATGGCCAGTCCAATTTCTTCTCTATTCTCTCAATCCTTATAATGGATGAGGCATTGGAGCAGCCTGGTCTGGGGAAGGTGTCCCCACCCACGGCAGGGGTTGGAATGAGTGATCTTTAAGGTTCCTTCCAACCCGAACAATTCAATGGTAGTTTCTCCTGTTTCTGGTTGTTTCCAGTGTGTTTGTTCCCCAAGATTATTCTTTAAGGGTACCTGCTCTGAAAGCTGTGTAAAAACGTGTGTGCATGCACATGCACCTTAGAGCTGCCTGGATCCTAAGTGTGCTCAGGCAGGAGGATCAGCCCCTCAGATTTCCCTGTGCTGGTTGCATCCCTGCTGTATCCCAGCTTCTCAAGGAATACACATCTATGTCTCCAAATTTACCACAGAAGAAGGTCTGAATCTTACACCCAGCAGAGACAACAGCGGGTTTTATTGACTGCAGCACCATCAGGAGATCAGTTCATAGATTTACATAGCACTTGCCATGCAGGGATCACAAACTGCCTTTATCATTCCCTTCAGACCTGGGCTGCCTCGGGCCCTGAGTCATTATCTGATCCATGGAAGCTGGAATATCTCAGCACCTCAGAGATCAAAAGGAAACTCTGCACAGTTCAGAGAGAAGCATTTTGAGGCTGCTGAATGTGCTCTCTCTGAGCAGATTTCTCTTCCCATAGGAATGTTTTGCCACTGTGACCCAAACCTGGCAGCTCTGCTGCATCCTTGCAGTGGCACAGCTGAAGGGACCATCCCTGCCTCACACAGGGAGGGATAGAAAAGCATTTCCATCCACAGAGCTCCACAGTTTTCCTCCACCACAGGAGCATTCCCACCTCCCCCAGCACTCCCAACACAGACATTGTCCTGAGCCATCAAACAGGAGCCAAGGCAGCTGCACCTGGGGCAGCCCATTTGTTGGTCATTGTAACCAGGAATATGTAGCACTTTTCATGCACACAGGATGACAGATAGCAGGGATAGAGATTTCCTACCATTCCAGTTTGAGCACTGAGTACAAGTGTGTTCACTCCGGGATTTTTGACCAGTTTAGTGATTAAGTCCCACCATCAGCACGGTGGCTCAGCAGAACTTCTCTCATGTGGACACAGCCTGAAGTCCCTCCCCATGGCTGGAGCAACTGGGTGTCAGTGCAGCAAAACTGCAGCAAAGCTTGGCCTGGGAGTGCCTGGAGGGAGATGGTTGGTCATCCAAGGGCTCTGCTGCGGAAACACCTCCTCCCCTTTGGGAATGGTCTGATGTTTAGGAACAGGGCAGGATAACAGGAGCACAGGGTTTACAAGTGCCTGTTGCACCGGGACCTTCGCTGAACTTCCTTCATCAATCTCCATCAATCCTCCCTTTCCTACGCCCCAGTCTGGGCTCTTAAACAGCTCCCTTCCTCTTTTTCCTCCCCTCTCTCGCTGCCCCCCAGCACATACGTGCACATTTCCTTTTCCTTAAGCAAACAATTTTCAGATTTAAAAGTGAACTCTCGCTGCAGGCTGGAAAAAGACAATGTGGCCTGGCTCCTTATCTGCTGCTATCTGCTGCTGCTTGTACTCACAACAGGCTGTGAGCCCAGATTGGCTTTACAGGAGATTTCAAGTGTTTATGAGCCACAGGAGGGAGAGAGAGGAGGGGAAATCTGGTAGGGAAGATAAGTCCAGGAAATAAGGCAAGTGACTGGAGCAGAGTCAACAAGCTGAGAGAGCAACCGGACACCTCCAAAGAGCCAAGGATGTGACTCAGTGTCACGACTCCAGTTCTTAGAGGGGATTCACCTCTAATGGTCCAGGGGGGCTGTGATTGTGATAGAAAAGGGAAACATCTTGATCTCTTTATAGACTCGGGATATTTTCCAGTTAGGAGCCCAAATGTAAGCTCCTCAATCCATAGGCAGGCTCCTAAAATAAACTGCTTGGTTTTCCAGGATCGTGCAGCACATGCTGGCTCCAGCGGGTCCCTCGGTCACACCGAGGGGTTTGTGATGTGCTGTGTAAATCTAGACCCTCCCTGGGGCCCAGAGCATCATCTGGTCTTTGTTCATGTGCCACCCAGAGCAATGTGGCTTCAGACCAACAGGGCGAGGTAGCAGCTGCTCACATGGGCACTGGGATATTTTTATAATCACCAGGATATTTTTATAATCACCAGGATATTTTTATAATCACCTTTTATCCCCACGTGCACAAGGTTTTTGATGGTAACTGGAAAAGCATGTAGGCTTCATCTGTAACGGATTTTAAGGACAAAAATATCTGGGCTGGTTGTGTCTGAGAACAGTAATTCACCTTGTTCCAGGCAGCCCAAAATGTGTCTGTAAGCATGGCTGTGCAATGAAAAGGTGAGGGTGTATGCTCTTCCTCTGCAAGACCAGCTGGATGAAGTTTTCGTGCTCCGATGGTTGTTTCTAAGCAGGAAAAAATTGAAAACCGTGTTCTTTAGGGCAGATGGTCTGGTTTTACCTTAAAATCTGTAATTTATGACATACCTTTCATATCTTAGCTACTGAGTATAAAGAGAGCCTTATGGAGACCAGAGTGACACTGATTTCCAACAGCCACCAGCTGGAGAACCCTGGACCACCCCACATTGTGCACTGATCTAGTGCTGATCTTACTGATTTAACTGCCTTAGTCAACACCATTCTCCTTTGGTTGGTTGACTGGGGGGTTTTCTGGCCCAGCCTTTCATTGGGGCTCAGCTATTCTGCAGTTTACTTGCTCCAGCATCTTCAGTTTTCCTGCCCTTGTTGTCCCAGTCCTGACACACACCCAGCTTCAGTTGTGGGCTCCAACATTGTCCTGACACACACCCAGCTTCAGTTGTGAGCTCCAACATCATCCTGACACACACCCAGCTTCAGTTGTGAGCTCCAACATCATCCTGACACACACCCAGCTTCAGTTGTGAGCTCCAACATCATCCTGACACACACTCAGCTTCAGTTGTGAGCTCCAACATCGTCCTGGCACACACCCAGCTTCAGTTGTGAGCTCCAACATCGTCCTGACACACACCCAGCTTCAGCTGTGGGCTCCAACACCCCAGGATCCGTGTGCTCAGGCCACTGGTGATAACCAGTGCTCCCAGCAGTGCCCCTGCTCCAGCCCCTCCGAGTGTATTCATGGAATCAGGGAATGCTTTGGGTTGGAGGGACCTTGAAGATGATTTCATTCCACCCCCTGCCATTGGCAGGGATGCCAGGATATGCCAGGATATTCCTCTAGTGCCTTCCATCACTGGCACAAAAGGGAAACAAACCTTCCCTCCTCCTTCACACAGATTCCTCTTTCACCCACACACCTTTCCCTGTGAAATCCACTTCAAATCCCAGTTTCATCCCCTCCACACTTGTGTTGTCTGAGGGTAGTGGAAGGTTCCCTGCCCATGGCAGGGATTGGAACAAAATGAGCTTTAAGGTCCCTTCCAACCCAAACAATTCTTGGATTCTATAAAACTTTCATTACTCCCATCTCCTTTCCTTGCATGGGGAACAATTTCTTCCTGTCCCAGGCAATTTCTTTGGCCCATAAAGCCCTGATCAAAGCTGAACTCAGTCTCTCTGTTGTCTCTATTCCATTAGGGATGTCCTGGAGGCCCTGCAGGAGAACAGGGCTATGCCCTGACCTTGAGTCATTTCACAATACAGCAAAAGCTCAGAGCGAGCACTTCATAATATTAACCAGAGAGACTTCCCAAATCATCGCTCCTTTCCATATGGGAACAGTTACTCTCCCTTATAAAGCCCCTCTCCATGGAAAGGCTGCTCCGACGGGCACTGAAACGCTTTAATGCGACTGGTGCAGCCCGAGCTGTCTGGTGACAGTGCGTAGACAAGGCCCAGGGTGTAAGAGCTCTTCAAGGGAAAACCTTCTGTGGAAAGGGCTGTAAAACACCATTTTACTGTGTTGTTCTAAATTTCCTCTCTATTTTATGGTTCATCTAATTCGAAGAGAAACCCTCTCAGCGGAGAAGTGGAATGGGAAACATGCTCCCGTGTCAAAACACTTGGAATAGCATCAAGCTCCTGTTTTAGCCATTTATTTCTTCCAATTTCACCTCGGGGTTGGGTGTTATTTTTAATCCTTTTCATTCATTCAGCTGTTTATGTGGCTTTTGGTGGAGCTGCCTTTCTTCTCTCTCTCTTCTCTCCTGCTCAGCTCCTGTACCATCCACAGTGGATCAAAAACAAAGTGAGATGTTTCCAAGAAATTAACCTTTGGAAAGAAATAATGGATGTGTTTGCTTGGATGGTTGGTTTTCTGTGGAGACCAGAGCAGGTGGAGCCCCTGTAGAGTTCCAGAAGTGTCCTCAGGGGCTGCCTGGTCTCTCCTGAGCAGCAGCTCCTCCAGGAGCTCCAGTCCAGGGTGGCCAGGGATGCTCTAAGGGAGCACCAGGGCAAGACTTTAGGGTTGTGCTTATTAAAAAAAAAAAAAAGGAAATAAGCAATCCCAGAGCAAGCAGATGCAAAGGGAACAGGCTGTGGAGCTGGGCTATACAAGGAGAGGGAGCTGTGCTGGAAACAAGGGCATCCTTGTGTTTTATATAGAAAGAATAAATATTGTTATGTCTTCTGGAAGAGGTTCTTCATGCAAAATTCACCAAAAAGCAAAGCAACGGTGAATCTTGCAGTGAATTTGGGGTCACAGCTACCTCTTGTTTCTTAAGAGGCAAAACTCTACCAGAGAGAGAAAAGAGTTTTTAATTTCTTTTACTTATTTTCTTCTATTTTTCTAGTCAGCGTCGGCTGGGCAGGCGTGTGGAAGAGAAAGGGAGCGGTGGGGGCTCCTTTGGGATGGTAAATGTTGGTTTTGTTCAGTCAAAGGGGCACAGTAGAAATTAGGGGGGAAAGGCGTGGCAGAGCTGGAAGATGTGGGAGCCCTGCCAGGTTGGGCTCTGACTGACAGGATGGGCTGTGGCTGAGGGGACAGGCTGTGGCTGAGGGGACAGGCTGTGGCTGACAGGTCAGGGTGTGACTGACAGGAAGGCTGTGACTGCTGTGATTGACAGGTCAGGCTGTGAGTGACAGGTCAGAGTGTGACGGACAGGCTGGGTTGTGACTGACAGGACAGGCTGTGACAGGTCAGGGTGTGACTGACAGGACAGGCTGTGACAGGACAGGCTGTGACTGACAGGTCAGGGTGTGACTGACAGGACAGGCTGTGACAGGTCAGGGTGTGACTGACAGGCTGGGTTGTGACTGACAGGACAGGCTGTGACAGGACAGGCTGTGACTGACAGGTCAGGGTGTGACTGACAGGACAGGCTGTGACAGGTCAGGGTGTGACTTACAGGAAGGCTGTGACTGCTCTGACTGATGGGAAGGCTGTGACTGACAGGACAGGCAGTGACTGACAGGTCGGGTTGTGACTGACAGGACAGGGAGTGACAGGACAGGCTGTGACAGGTCAGGCTGTGAGTAACAGGACAGGTTGTGAGTAACAGGACAGGCTGTGAGTGACAGGACAGGCTGTGAGTGACAGGGTGGGTTCTCCCCTCAGCACACACCCCCATTTTGTCTGTCGAGGACAGGGCTGCAGGACCTCCCTCAGGGCTTCATTTCATGTCCCCTCACCCCACCAAGGGCAGCAGGGTCCCCTCAGGGGGTGAAGAGCCCCCTGAGCACAGACCCCTGTCCTCTCAGGGGCAGCAGGTCCCCCTCAGCACAGACCCCCATGCCCTCAGGGACAGATGAGTCCCCTCAGCACAGCCCCTGTGCCCTCAGGGTCAGTAGGGTCCCTCAGTACAGACCCCTCTCCCCTCAGGGATGGCAGGGTCCCCTCAGCACAGCCCCTGTGCCCTCAGGGGCAGACGAGCCCTTCACAGTGCAGACCCTTCACCTCTCAGGGGCAGACAGGTCCCCTCAGCACAGACCTTTCTCCCCTCAGGAGCAGCAGGGTACCCCCAGCACAGACCCCTCTCCCCTCAGGGGTGACGAGGTCCCCTCAGGGGCTGTGCCCCACCCGCTGGGTTCTCTCACCCTCTGAATCTTCACAACTTCTGGGGCATGAAGGAGAGGAGAGCCCAGACTCTGACAGGGGTGAGACGTTCACCTGTGGCATCTCTGCTGGGAAGGGCCCCTCGGCATGGCCCAGCTCCCTCAGGGACCTCAGCGTGACCCATCCTCCTCTGGGGACCTCAGCGTGACCCATCCTCCTCTGGGGACCTCGGCATGACCCGTCCTCCTCTGGGGACCTCGGCATGACCTGTCCTCCTCTGGGGACATCAGCGTGACCCGTCCTCCTCTGGGGACATCAGCGTGACCCGTTTGCATTTGAGGACCTGGCAGTGGTGGCAGTGCTGTCACCAGGGGCTGTGGCCACCCAGACAAACCTCTGCAGGTGCCACTGCAGGGTGTGTCACAGTCGTGTCACCCAACAAACAGTGAAGGGGTTGAACACAAAAATCGTGGGGAAAAAAGGTGTCATCAGGGCCACGTGTCCAGCAGTGAGGCCCCAGGAGAGCAGAGGCTCCATGCTGGGGAGCAGAGCTTGTGTGGAGTGAAGGGTTTGAAATGGTCCCTGTCCTGCCTCTGCCACTAAGGGATTAGATCCCTCTGCCACAGGGATTCCACCTCTTCCATAAGGAATCAGATCCCTCTGCCACAGGGATTCCACCTCTTCCATAAGGAATCAGATCCCTCTGCCACAGGGATTCCACCTCTTCCATAAGGAATCAGATCCCTCTGCCACAGGGATTCCTGTCCCACTCTGCCCACCAAGCTGTCGTGGGATCTAAGGTCTTATCACGCCATCCTTAAACTTTCCTCCCCACCCTTTTGTCTGTGAATTTATTTGGGCCAGCAAATGTCATTGTAACACTTATATTCTGCCCAATATAACCTGCAGGAGGATGTTGCTGAAGACTGGTTAAAATCCAGAGGAAAACAACCCACATGGATTGAGGAACAAACCAGTCACCAACCCAGGCTGGTTTAACGGGAGTTCCATGACATCCCACAGACAGTAAATCATTTCCTCCCATGTTTATAAACAACGGGAGTGGAAACTCCACTGTTTTGTAAAGAATCGGGTCTTTAACAACACCACCAAACCCCCACGTTTTCCAACTTCACAATAAACACTGTCAAAATAAATATCCAAACGTCCTCAAACCCAGGCAGCCCAGCAAGAGTGAAAGGTTCTCATTCCCATTTAGCAGAATGGGAACAAGGGAATTAAAATTCCTGGGGCACACATGAACCTTCATCTAACATTCCTTTTTCAAGAATAATATAGAATGTAACAATTACAGCAATTCTTTTTTTTCCTGTCCCCTCATTTTATCTCTGTAACTGAAGTTTCTCTTTTGTTGTGATAATGATTTTATCAATAATTTATGATTATTTATTTGAATACACTAATCACATTCATCACTAATATAAGACCAGGGTGAAACATATTCTATTTCAAAGGTGTTTTTCATGGTAGAGAGTAATTTAGCAAAGCTGAAATGTCTTTCCCAAAAATATTTATAGTGCTTTTGCTGATTTTAAGTGGAATTTATCAAAGTGCTTTTACTTAGATTGATTAGTGGAAATGAAACAGTAGATCTTCATTGAAAAGGATCTTTCCAAGATCTGAATGAAACCTTTTTGTGATGGTAATTTATTACAGAAATTGTTTTTCATGTCAAAATTCTAAATTTGTCCTTTTTATGAATTGAAAATAAAAATACATTTTAACAGGGAGGATTTTCCTATAAAACTAATATATTTTAATTTCAGGAATATGGCTAATGATAATTAACTACTTCATAGAGTTCCAGCCAAGTACCTTTTTTATTAAATGTTGCTTAAATATAGCACGGGGAAAAACCAGAATCTGCAGCCACTGCCTCATCCAAAAGCTGCCCAGCAGCACAGCAGATGAAAAATCAGATGGACATCTCTCCGTGGCAGCTGTGTTTCACTATTTCTTTCTCGAGGGGGAATTTAGGAGCCTATTTTCATTTAACTCTGAGATCTGTTTGTAGCACCCAAAGCACGTCCAAAGCCTCAGTCCCTGCGGTGGGAGCAGGACCTGGCAGGGTGTGTTGAAGTCCTTCGTCCCTTGAGCTTTTGCCCCTCGATCACTGATGGATCCTCAAACTTCCTCCCTCCTAAACCCCCAGGTTTGGGTGTTGTGGTGGCTGATTTCACTGAGGCAGAGTCACCACCTCAGCTTTTGGTGGCTCTCCTTGACCACAGGCCCAGGCTCCAAAGTGCCTCCAAATTTTGGACCAAGCCATGAGAGGAGCAGAGGCAAAACAAGTTGTTGCCATTATTTTCCCACAGCACATGGAAACGGGGATGGCCACTGAAAAATCCCCACATTTTCCTTGCAGGAAAGGGAAACAAGCCCAGAAGTGTGTGTGTGGTTCCATGTCAAGCGCTGGAGCTCCTTTTGACTTCACATACTTTCCCCTTATTTCTAATTAACGTGTTGAAGAATTTTAAAATGTAATAAACATTATTTCTAAACAACCAGAAAGTAAAGTTTGCTTCTTTCTGGTTTGATGTAAACATTTATAGCACAGCTCCATCCTTAAACAGTTAATCTTATGGTGACCTATTAAAATAAAATGAATTGTGTTATAATTCATCCTAAAGCAACCTCAGGGTTAGTGTATCAGGTAACTCCTGCTTTTGCAGCCCTCATGACGTTTTTAATCAAATTCAGCTGTAATTGCTGGAGCATTCACATGCCTCTTTTAATACTCTGCCTACATTTGGGACTCGCACGAGTCTGTTTTCTCTTAACGTATCTAATAAATAGAAAACATGAAAAGAGCACATTTCGCAGGACTCGGAGCTTTTCCACCGTTTCATTTGTTGCAGCAATTGTCTGACAGGCTCATGGGAACGGAGCACTTGTCGGGTTCCCCCCGCACCCTCGGCTAAAACCCTTTGTGGGTTTTAAGTCCCTGTTTGTGTTGCTCGCACCCCGTTAAAGGGGACACGGGCACGGGCGGCAGCGGCTGCCCCGGGAGAGCCCGCAGGGATTTCAGAGGCATCTTGAAGAAATCACCGCCGGTGATGGATGTTGAAATGTTGCTTATGTACAAGTCACCTACGGTTTGGTGAGGAAAACTGGAGATGTCGTGTCTGCCGCCGAGATATTTGGATAAACAAAACTCCCGCAACTTTCCCTGCTCAGGAGGCTGGAGGGGGGGTAGGGGGGGGCGGTTTTTTTTTTTTTCCTCCTTGGTCTGCGATGCTCCAGCTGTTTCCAATTTGCCAGCAATTTTCTTTTGGGCTAGTAAAGTTCCCAAGATGACTGCAACTGGCCACAGGGGTCTCTCCGCTCGGCTGTGGGGTTTGGTTACAAGGGGCAGCAAAGCCAGCTCAGGATTCAGGGCACTCATCTCCCTTGAACTTGGGAGTGCTTTACATCCCGACTCTTTTGTTAACGCCAGCCTTTAAAGTTTATTTCATTGCAGGCTGGGAGGCTGCTCTCGGCTCCCTGTCAGAGGTTTGTTAAAAAATAAAGGAAAATAACAGGAAAAACGCACGGGGGAGCGATGCAAGCGCCTGTTACCTGCCCCGCAACGAAAAGGAGGGGAGGAGGCGTCTGTTAACACAATAGTAAAGCCCTCGGGGTTCCTCTTCAGCGCCGTGTTTTGTGTAATTCACACGTGGAAACGTGAGAAAAGAATGAACGATGACTTTGAAACGTGAGCCGGTCCGCTCACAAGCCGGCTCGGTTGTGAGGGCGCAGGAGTTGTTCCCATCCCCGCAGAATAATGAGATTAAGGCTTGGAAAGAGCATTTTTAACCCCGCGCACGCGATTATTTTAAAGCCATTTAAAAATGACAACGCTGCTTTTGGTTTGGGGTTCCCCCGGTTCCCCCTCTCTCCGCACGTCACGAGTCCCTCCTGTCGCTTTGCTTTTTCCTTCCTTAGCGTCTCCCTAAAATCCCTGTCGCTTTACCTTGCGCAGGAAACAGTTTCTCTTGCCACAAACAACAACAATTATAATAATAACAAAGAATGCGAAGAATTTCTATATTAAAAAGTGGCTCTGGCGAGGTCCCTGGTCACTGGGTCCAGGTCTGAGTCTGTTTTCCTTGGAAATTGGGAGGAATGCTAAACGCCTCGTCTACCAGAGAGCAAATTGTGTGCGGAGCTCTAGGCACGGCTCCCAAGTTGCCCTTTCACCCCTTCACTTTATATGTTCCTCTTATTAAGGAGAAAAATGTTTCAATATGTTGGAATTTGGGGCAAAGCCGGCAAGGAGAGAAAGAGAATAGAGAATGGAAGGACATTTTCCAAATAGTTTTGGTAACCCTTCCGGGGGTTACGTTTAAAAATGATGTTGTACTAAAATCCCTGGAAGTTTCTTGCCCAGGTTAGTGCAAAATATTATCTGCTATCCCTTCAGAGATGACAAAATGCACCAGAAACGTGAGGAAAAAATACATCCCCAACTGAAGATGTGTTTCCTTTCCCTCCCTGAACGCGTTACTATTTGATCGGTTCTTATTAAATAGCTCAAAAGATCTGGAGATTTCGACTCGCAGGGAGAAATGCTGGGTTCTTGGTCCAAAAGAAAATTTTGGAGCTGATTCCAGCTGGCTCTCCCAGCCTTGTGCTCTGTCATGGTTTCAGTCCTGCTTCAGGGGGAAACGGGTTAACTGTTTCCAAGGTAAGAGTCGGGGGAAAAAGCTCAAAGTAAGGAACGATGATTTAAAAACGGATATTTGAAACTTCCTTGTTTAAAAAGGGGGATTTAAAGTAGCACTTGAGCTCCACTCAGCGTCTCTTTTCGGCCTGACTCCTCAGCAATATTTTTTTAAGAAAGTTGTGAATTTTTCCCCCTCCTATTTTTTTTTTTTCCTTACTGTGTTCTTTAAAGTCTCTCGCAGCTCCAGGAGGGCTCATTGGGCGAAGATGTCCCAGAGCCGCGATTAATCGGAGGGAACAGCTGGAATATTGATAAGGGCGGAAAACGGAAATCAAATGAAAAGTGGAGGGCACAGAAGCGAGGGAAAGGAAAGCACGTCCTGGAGCTGCGAGCAGCACAGAAGCCCCCTGAGGAAATGCCTGGTTGATGCAGCCTGTCTGGATGGGCTGGGAATTTTAACTTCAGCGCTGCTCTGGATCCAACAAGTTTAAATCTCTCCTCTCCTCGCAAAACTGCAGCGGCAAGGGTAGTAATCCACAGCTGGGGGAGTTCTGGTTTTGGTCTCAACCTGGATCTTTACAAACTGCTCTGCCACTG